CCCGCCCCGGCCTGGGTTTCCTGCACTGATTCTCTGCTCTGCTTTCTCTGCCGCTGCAGTCAGGCTCACGCCCAAAAACATCACAGTGGTGGCAGGCACAGACCTGGTGCTGCCCTGCCGCCTCTCCTCCAACCTCGCCCATGCCCGCTGGACCTTTGGGGGCCGGGAGCTGCCTGCAGAGCAGCCCGGCTCCTTCCTCTACGACGCCCGGCTGCAGGCCCTGGTGGTGATGGCCGCCCAGCCCCGCCACGCTGGGGCCTACCACTGCTTCTCGGAGGAGCAGGGGGCCCGGCTGGCTGCTGAAGGCTACCTGGTGGCAGTGGTGGCGGGCCCGTCGGTGACCCTGGAGGCCCGGGCCCCCCTGGAGAGCCTGGGGCTGGTGTGGCTGGCCGTGGTGGCCCTGGGGGCCGTGTGCCTTGTGCTGCTGCTGCTGGTTCTGTCCCTGCGCCGGCGGCTGCGGGAGGAGCTGGAGAAGGGCGCCAAGGCAGCCGAGAGGACCCTGGTGTACCCTCTGGAGCTGCCCAAGGAGCCCACCAGTCCCCCCTTCCGGCCCGGCCCCGAGACGGACGAGAAACTCTGGGACCCCGTGGGCTACTACTACTCGGATGGCTCCCTCAAGATTGTTCCTGGACACGCCCGGTGCCAGCCTGGCGGCGGGCCCCCCTCGCCGCCTCCTGGCATCCCCGGCCAGCCCCTGCCTTCTCCAACTCGGCTCCACCTGGGGGGTGGGCGGAACTCCAATGCCAACGGATACGTGCGCTTACAGCTGGGAGGGGAGGACCGGGGCAGCCTCGGGCACCCGCTGCCTGAGCTCGCCGACGAACTGAGACGCAAACTGCAGCAGCGCCAGCAGCTGCCGGACTCCAACCCCGAGGAGTCCTCCGTGTGAGGGTACCCCTCCGGCGGGGCAGCGTGGGAGGCGCGGCTCCTACTTTTGCACAGGCACCAGCTACCTCAGGGACATGGCACGGGCACCTGCTCTGCCCCGGACGGACCCTGCCCGGCACCGCCCGGCCATGAGGACCTGCTCTCTCAGCACGGGCACTGCCACTTGGTGTGGCTCACCGGGGCACCAGCCTCACAACAGAGGGCACCTTCCTCCTCTGTGAGGGGCTGTGAATCACAGACGCACGGGACCCCAGCAGCCAAAACCTTTCAAGGCGGAAGTTGGAGATGTGGGTGTGTTTGTGTACATACATGTGTGTCTGTGGACGTGTGCACGTATGTGTGTGTGGGTGTGTGACACAGTCTTCCTGTTTCTGTCAAGTCTTCCCTTGGCCTGGGGTCCTCCTGGTGGGTCACTGAAGCTATGAAGGGGAAGGGGTTGTATCACTTTGCCTCTCCTACCCCCGCCTGTCCCCAGTGGGGGGCAGCCATGTACATACGGGGGTGGGCTGGGCAGGGTGCTGTGCCCCTTTGGGGGAGTCCAGGGCTCTGGGGTGGGCCTGGTCCTACTCCCGGGGCTGTGAATGTTTTCAGGGTGGGGGGAGGGAGATGGAGCCTCCTGTGTGTTTGGGGGAAGGGTGGGAGGGGCCTCCCGCTTGGCCCTGGGATTCAGTGGTATTTTATACTTGTCCTCCCTGGCAGGGCTGGGAAAGGTGGTGGGGGGGGGAGGGGGGGAGAGGGCGGGCATGCTGTGGATGCGGCACATCCTCTCCCAGCCCCGGGAGGAGGGCTTCTCACAGTGTAACTTATTGTGTCCCCACGTATTTATTTGTTGTAAATATTTGAGTATTTTTATATGGACAAATAAAATGGAGAAAATGAAACTTCCTGTCACGGAGATAAGACGTTTGGGCCAAAACCTTCTGGGTGCCAAGAGGGAGACTCCCTGTGGGTTGAGTGGGGCTGGACTGCCCCCCTTCTCAGTCCTGGGGCAGCCGCCCTTTCCTTCAGTGGTCCCCCTCCTGCCTGTGCCCCTCTCTGGAGGGGGGACAGCCCAGGCGCCAATGTTTTCCCACAGTGGTGGCTCGGGCTGGGAGCCAGACCAGGGCCACAGCCTCTTGAGAGGCAGCCTTGGCTTCTGGCCAAAGGGAGAAGTCAGGGCATGGGGAGTAGAAGCAGGAGAGCGGGAGGGGCCTGGCTTCCCAGAACTCTGGGAAGGGGAAATGGGAGCGAGGGGGCCGAGGAGGGGAACTTCCGAGAAGCAAGCTTAAGGTGGTGTGGGCTGGCTCGTGTGAGGATGGGGCTCCCAACCAGCTTAAGGGAGGAAAGATGACTTCCAGCCTTTACCCTCCAGACTTAGCCCTGAATGCTTCAGCCACACACCATAGGGAACTTTCCCCATTGCCACCCGGTGGGCACCAAGCCCCTGTCCTATGGAAGGAGCCGTGCAGGGCCCAGATATTTGTAAGAAAAACAGGACCCCGCCTGGGTTCTATAATTCACGCCCACACACAGGCAGCCAGTCCTCTGTACCCTTGACCGGTCTGGGGGTGCCTGCTGTGGCTGGAATAGGCTGCTGCCAGGCGTCCTGCTGTTAAGAGAGTGCTGGCATCTGCTGACTTGAGCACGCTACGCTTCCTGCACGGTCACTTAGCCACAGCCCAGAGAATATCTTGATACACGAAGGTTGATTCGGTAAACTAGGTGCCCACTGTGGGGTTGAGGGTTCCAGGCCCTTTTCCCTGCCCCCCGGGCCTACGTGCAGGTGTTCCCAGCGGCAGGATAGGTCATGACTACCTGCCTCCCACGGGGTTTTAAAAAGTGAGCAGGAGGGGCGAGAGGAGGGAGGGTGTCGCGCGGCCTTTCAAGTGGTCACCGCGGCGGCGCGGTGACCCGTCTTCCTGGGCCCGCGTGGTGGGGGGAAGAGGGGGGGGAAAGGACCTTGGGGTGCTCCCGGCGACCCCCTGCCCTGGGGAGCCCGGTGGGACGAAGAGAACCTGGAAGGACGCCTCATAAACGCTCCCGACCCATCCCACCCCCGCCCCACTGGGTTCCAGCGGGCGCGCCCCGGCCTCCGCTTAGCCTGGGACGCCCTCGCGTGGCCGCTTCGGGCGGGCGCGGCCAGGCACACCACCCCCCCAGGTCCCACCCCACCGCCGCGATTGGCTCCCGGGCTCAGACCCAGACGCTTGATTGGTCGGCCCTGTGGCTCGTGCGGACGCCGAGTGGTCAGGCCGGGCGGGTGGGCCGCGCTGCGCCCGCCCTGCCCGCCGAGGCCGCGCCGGCGCCCGTGCCCGTGACCTTACCCGCGGCCGCGCCCGCCAGCGGGTGGGAGGGCGCCGAGGGCGACATGGCGGAGCCGCGGCCCTGCGCCGAAGGCCCCTGCTGCTCCCGCCCCAGCGCGGCTCCCGGCGTGCAGCAGACGCTGGACGAGATGGACTTCGAGAGGGGTGAGGCGGGCGGGCGGC